AAGCATGGAAGACCAGACCAGCACTTCAAATCCTCATGTGATGGGTTAATAGGATAGCAGCATTAAGTTACATCTCAGCTGTATCTTTATAAGGAAGTGTCCGGAAGAGGCTAAGTGTCTGGGTGAAATTTTCACACTTTTCAGCGACTGCACGCAGAGCAGTGATTTGGAATATGTTAACCAGCTCTTAATTAGGATCATTGGGGTTCATTGGGTGAGTTGTTCAAACCATGTGTAAATGCATGTGTATCAGGTATCAACTTGCCTCAGTTGTTTCTGGGCTTAGAAGGCTATTAATGCAAGCTCAAGTTCTAGGAATTGAGCTCCTAGAGCTAGGCTGATAGTCTAGTACAATTTTGGGGCTGCACTGTATTGTCAGAAGTGTCATCCTTTGGATGAGACAAAAGGTCCCCCCTGTCTTTTCCATTGTCATTCTGTAAAGAGACGTTCTCCCGGTGTCCTGGCCAACAATTATTTTGCTGTGCGCAAAAAAGCTGTTGTAATTACCTTCTATAAATAGCCACTACACTTGACAGTAATGTATTATTAGATGTATTTAAGGGAAAGCTAGATAGGTACATGAGGGAGAAAGGAATAGAAGGTTAAGTTTGAAAGCTTAGTTGAGGAAGGGCAGGAGGAGGCTCATGTGGAGCATAAACACATCATAGACCAGTTGGGTCGAATGGCCTGTTTCTGTACTGTATATTCTAATGTATTCTAATAAATGTAATATGCTGTGAGATGCTTGACTTTAAAGGTCCTACACACATAATTGTTTACATTTGTGTAAACCACGTCAAGCTTGGGGAGTACAAGAGACGAGAGAAGCTAAATTGAATGGAAACTTACGAAAGCCTCTGCAGGAAACCTCAGTCAATATAACGTCGAACATTCCTCTGTTATTATAACCTTGCACATTCCTCCATCAAAATAAGAAGGTAAAGAAGATAACTTTACTGTTAAACATCTGCATTGTTGAATATTCGTCCAAGGATGAGCCTGTAGACTTCCTTTGTACTTCCAGCTGATTGTTATGGGTGACAGTGTCATTTCTACCGAGGAGACGTTTTAGTGAGAAGAGTGAAGTGTGAAGGTTAACTTTCTGCTACTGTTTTACAATAGAAAAAAAAGCTTATTACCAATGTGTGCTGCAGAAAATATATTTTAATATGAAGTCCTATAGGTCATTGGTTAGAGCATTCGCCTCGCAAGCAACCTGGGTTCAATTCCCAGGCAGGGCGAAACGTTGGGCAAATTTCCTTACCTCACATGCTTCTGTTTACCTAGCAGTAGCAGGAACCCGGTTGTTGATTGGTGGCTCACTTTTCTGGGGGGAATAATTCCCTTCCAGAAATAATAAAATTTGGTCACTCAATCCACGACTATTTGTGGGACACTGCTGTGCGCAATTGGCTACCGTGTTTCACCCACAAAATATAGTCAGTTCACTTTACAGTATATTCTGTGAAGTGCTTTGAGGCATCTCAAAGATGTGGTAAGGCGCACTATCAAATGCAAGGATTATTATTATTAATGATTTTATTCGCTTTTAGACTACTGAACCAATTAAATGTTAAAGTAGCACAGTATTAACTACAGTGCATTTGCGCTACTGTAGTACATTGAAAATGTATCTGTGCCTATTGTGTTGCCATAAATAGCAATCAGGAGTGGACAAGAAAGAAATGGAAATAAACTCTGTATTATTAGGGAACTGTTTACAAGACATGGTAGTAAAGTACGAAAACCTGTGAGCTGTATACATAAACCTTCTAAATGCATTGAGCATGCAATATTAAACCATTAGACCCTGCGTAGCTTTTCCTTAAGGTTTGGCCTCTTCCTGGATACTTTTACAGTTTCTATTTTATTACATTGTTTTCATAATTGATAGTATCCTCCTGATTAAATGAATATGTCTGGCAGTAGCTTGAGGAACTTTAGTGTAATGCTCTTTGGTTATTGGTCTGAAGCAAGTTCTTAACATTGTTGTTTAAACCATCCCCTGTTAAACACTGTAAGAGACAAAGGTATTTCATGCAGGAAATAAGCTATTAACTCCAAAGGGTATTTTATGAATGAGCTCATATTTATCGTAACACCAGAAAACGTATCGATGAAGAAAATAGAATTCTGTTTGAAGAGCTTTGTAAACATATTTTTAATAATGTGAAAGCATCTCCAGTTAATCCCTGCATAGTTTTTCTTTGACAAAAAATGTTGGAATTTGCCATTCAAATTTTTCTTCTTATCGTATCAAGATCTTTTCACGCATATTGGAACACTTATTGCATATTGTCACTTCCTGGAAAATATCAGTTGTTTCTTACACAATGCACAGTACAATACAGGTGTCAACCTGGCTATGTTGGAAGTGCTTATGCTTCTATGTCATGAAGTTGTGAGTTCAAGCCCCACATCGAGACTTCAGCTCACAGAGTCAAGACTGACATACCAGTGCAACACTGGAGAATGCTCTAATATCTTTTAAATACATTGATCATTCAATTTATATCTCAGCTATCTAGTGAAAATAACTTCCACATTTGCGTACAAAAGCAGTTGCTACAACTGACAGTAAGGTGCTATAAAGATGAAAGTATTTCTCGTTCTATAACAACAAGCAAAGTTAGTCAAGATCAGGAACATTGCTTTAAATTGTTGTGAAATTACGGTAGAATTGTTTTAATTACTGGACTTTGAATTCTTTAATATGCATTATTTTATCCTGAATCTTGTCTCATACTTCAAAATACAATACAATACAAAATTACAGTTAGTGTTTAGGAACCAAGTGAGGGGGGAGGAGGGTTTGGGATCAGAGAGGTGGAGGACAGAGAGGAGAGTGGCCGAAGGCATGGTCGAAGAGGAGGGTCTTGAGAGTGCCTTGAAAGAAGCAAGGGAGGGAGCAAGGTGAAGGGATTATGGGATGGAGTTCCAAAGGATGGGGGCAGAGAGCCTGAAAGCCTGGCCGACGATGGTAAGGTGGGTTGGACGGGAGACATGGAGCAGGCCGGAGCCTGCTGAGCAGAGGGAGTGGACAGGTTGATGGGGATCAGCAGGTCAGAGAGGTAGGAGGGGTCAAGGCCGTGCATGGCCTTGAAAGTGAGGACAAGAATTTTGAATTCTATCCTCTGAAGGATGGGGAGCCAGTGGAGCCGGGCGAGGGTGGGGGTGATGGAGTTGCGGAGCCTGATGCAAGAGAGGACACTATATGCAGAGTTCTGGATAATCTGCAGCTTGTGGAGGGAAGAGTTGGGGAGACCGACAAGGAGGGAGTCTCCATAGTCGAGCCTTGAGGTGACGATTGCATGTAGGAGGGTTTCAGCGGTCTGAGGGGTGAGGCAGTGGGTGAGTTGGGCAATGTTGTGGAAGTGGGAGAAGGCAGAGTGGGTTATGGCACGGATGTGGGGGAGAAAGTTGAAGGTCGAACAAGATGCCCAGGTTCCTGACTGGCTCAGTGAGGTGGAGTGTGCATCCAGGGAGTAGCAGTAGAGGAAGGAGTAAAGCTGGGAAGCAACAACTCTTTCAAGGAGCTTAGAAAGGAAAGGTAGGTTGGAGATGAGGCAGTAGTCAGTGAGCAAGGATGGGTCCAAGGAAGGTTTGTTTTAGGATAGAGGTGATGACAGCTGTTTTTATGGGGGGTGAGAATAGTGTCAGTTGACAGCGAGAGGTTGACGAGGTCCCGAGGAGCTGCAACGTAAGGAGAGGGGTAGGGATGGGGTTATACTTCATTGTAAAGCACAGTTATAACGCAAGGGTGCACAGCAAAGAGCAAATTTTGAGCATTACACTGATGGTTGCACATGTCAGGTGAATTTCAAATAGATTCCAGCTACTGTGTCAAGTCAACTGTATTCCATACGCTTGCAAAATGGTTTGTTCTAAATTATTGTCTTCCTCAGGAGCGACAGAAGTCCTGGAATTTATTATCACTAGTCAGTAACGAGTGATTTGTTTCTTAAGTATCTGGTAGAATCTTAAACACAGTGATTTCTAATGGCTGTTCCATGTACAAAATATTTTTTACATACAATTCTGAAATATTAACCTTGTGATCAGATAACTCTAAAGAGTGCTTCTGCAGATTCCAGTGTAATATTATCTCCATACTAAGAAGCTGTCATCTCAACCAAGAAACCCATAAAACAAGGTAGACAAGATCTTTTCTTGTGGAAACCACATGTTGATGGATATGATCGCCTCTGGTGCCAAGTGCATCTGAGTAATGGCATCTATCAACAAACCCTCCATGAGTTAGTTTCCCTATTGCTGAAGTGAGGCTGCTAGGCCTGTAGTTGGCAGGGCCACCCATGCTTTAAGATGGGCATCACTTCGATCACTTTCCAGTATTCTGGAACTTCACTGTTATTAAGGAGTTGTTAAAGATACAAGCTAGGGACTCTCAAATACAATACACTACACTTTACATTTATGTTGACTTTAGGAGGGTGTCTCAAAGAGCTCAGATCGTCTCCCCTAATTCCCTGGGGTGTGGCTCACTGAGCAAAAGTCCTGTTGTCTTAAAGGCCTATGATTTGGGTCAGTACTACCTTATAGCTGAAAGTTGGGCCATCCATCCTTTCTTCTAACCATTTCTTGGGTAGAACTATATTTCTGTCCTTACTGGAGAATAATGAGAAGTTGGGGTTGAGCTTAGAACATTAGTACCTTCAGATTTGCAACATTACGGCTGTGATTAATTTTTGCTCATACCATAGAATTTTCCCTGACTGAAATGCTGCCGGGAGAACTCCAAAGAGGGTTTGCACTGGCAGCAAGATTTGAAGTTACAAATGCATTTACAGAACACTGTCTGTTTGAAAAACATCCACTTATCAATAAGAGTTCCACAGAATTGCAAATTATACACTTTAAAGTAGAATGAAAGCAGCCTGAAAAAGATATCAGTGCTATTGCTCAGTTGTACTTCAATGAGCTCTTTTTGAAGTTGCACAGAATTGCTTTGATTCATTTTGTTGTGTTGTTGTTCTCTTCAGTCATCTGCCTGGTGGGATTAGGTTTGGTGGTGTTCTTCTTCAGTCTACTGCTGTCAATATTTCGCTCCAAATATCATGGGTATCCCTACAGGTAAGTTTAGTTATATCTTCTCATCTCAGTTTTCTCTTTTAGATTTGAGCTAATTATAGTTAATAATTACTGAATAGTAAAAGACTAGTTTTCGAATGTTTTAATGAAAGCTGACATTAGTTATCAGCTAAGAAATCCTCACCAACAAATTCTAAAGCAACAGCATTCCCAGGGCAATTGACAGGATTTACAGCCTTCAAGATCCATAGGTTTTCTATTTCCTTTAATTTCGGTTCAAATGGAATGCAATGTTTTATTATCCCCCATCTCTTCAAGTCACTGAGTGCACCCCACGCCACTCCCAGCCAAGAGACTGATCATGCGTTGGGTCCTCAGTCTGCATTGATGCCATTCTGGCAAAGGTGATGGAGAAATGTATGAGATTATTGGGGAGCAGGGCAGGGGTTAGAGTTACTTGCTAAATTACTGCAGTCCTGTTATAACGTGCTTTTGTATAGCTTGAATTCAGTTGTAAGGCACTTGCAGTATGGACCAATTCACTGAACATAGTCACTCGCTTCCCGTGAATTGGTGAGCTCTCATCTTAAAACAGCCAGATGATCAGATCACTGCTCAGATAACTTTCTACACACTGGGCAAGTGCAGCACCCAGGAAATGATACTGGCTATTTTTATAGATACCAACCACTGTGAAAGCAGAGCCTCCGCTGTATGCTAAAACAATTGCTTGAATGGCCTCGTTCTGTTATTTCTATGGTTCCATGGTTGGTAAAATGCCAGTTTTCAGTTTCAGAATTGTCTCAGTAACATGAGAAGGTTTAGGAGGTTCTTTATGGAAAAAGCAAAATTAAATAAACCACTGGATATACAACAACAACCTGCATTTTATACAGCACTCTCCATGCCAGGTGGCATCTCAGAGCGCTTAACAATGGCTGAGCTCGAGGCCGTGTAGTGTAAAGGTGCGTTCTACCTAACTATACAGAAATTAGACCTAAATAGGTCTGCATTAGAAGCCGTAATCTGTAAATTACATCGGGAAAATTGTTCATTGGTACAAATAATGTTACAATTAGGATCATGAAAACAAAATCCTGCATTCTTACAGGCCCAAAATGAGACAAGTATTTTGCTCTAGGTATCACCAATTTTTGAACATATTAAATGAACATTATAGATTATCGTCATTAAGAAATGTTGCATTGCAATTTGTAATTGTTTTTCTCCTCTCACAGCTTTTTGATTAAGTAATCTGCAGATCACAAGAGATGGCACGGTGATGGCACGGAATGAAGACAATCCCTATCTGAAGAAAACGTAGTTTATGCTCGTGTTTGCTAGCAAATTGTAAAAAAAAAATTCAAGGTCTTTGTTGTGGAATTGTAAAGGTGCATTTAGAAGTCGCTCAGTACATTTTTTTTAATTTTTAGAAATTATTAGTTCAGTTTGCTGTGCAAGGTGGGGTCCAGAGAAACCAACAATAACTTGTATTTATGTCGCACCTTACATGCAAGAGAGCATCTAGACAACAACAGAATGAATTAAATCCCATGGCTTTGTCTGAATTCACTGGTCTACTACCACATCATAACCTGTTGTTTTGTTGAAGTATTTCATGTTCTCTAATATCTAATGAAGCACTGAGCCTGTTTTGTGAAAAGGAGCCTGGGATCAATATTATGTGCATGATCTGGTTATCAATTTAAACTAAACGTGGCATTGTCTACCTCCCATGTATAAAGTCTCAGTACAGCCCCAAACCAGGATTTAACAAGAAATACTAATCCACTCTCTTTTGTACTAAGTTAGGAGGTTTTGGGAATCTTTTTCAAGTTTTGAAATCATATTTCGTTGAACAGCATGTCACACAACTCCAGCAATCCAATTGGTGGCCTCACTCCATATTTCAAACCTTTAGATTTGCAATTTAATATAGCTAGCAAGTGATCAATGGTGCCAGGTACCACTTGTTACTTGCTAGCCATGTCATGTGCCTTCTATTGTAATGGGCAACAACCTTTTCCATTTGTAGTTTATTTACCTGCACGCTACACTATCTTCCATTAGTTCCAAGATCTTATTGTTTTACTTCCCATTCATACCTTCCTATAGGGTCATAGAATGTGATAATACAATACAAAATTACATTTGTATAGCGCCTTTCACATTGGGAGGACATCTCACGGTGCTGGTTACAGCACAGGGCCATCGTCCATTGAAGTCTGCACTGGTGTTTAAATCCACATGAGATACCTAATATAATGCAGCTCTCATGCTCTGTCTCCTTGCTGCTTAATACAGTAAAACTCACATAAATCATATTAGTCAGGACCATAACATTTAATATGACTTACGTGAAGTCCGAGTTACAAACAAACTTGCATAAATCGGATGAAATCCAATTTAATCGATAAAATGCACTTTGCATGCGTAATTCAATGCAGTACTTTGTCACTGCAGCCAGTAAGTGCACATGTGGCTCCATTGAATTGCGGGAAATGTAGTTTTGACTCATTGTCGCATGCGCACTTATCCCATTCATGGGAATCGCACTGAACCACAGGAAATGAAGTTCTTTTGCGTATGTGTCGACTGGTCAGGACGTCATTTCTCCCGATTCGATGCAGCCAGTAAGTGTGGGAGTAATGTAGGTTAGGGGAGCAGTGTTACGAGTTAGAGGATGATTAATATGAGCAGTGCAAAGCAATCTAAGTAGTTTTGATAGGAAACTGAATGAATGGGACTTGGCATAGATGATTATACGATGTATAAAAATAAGACTTATGCGAGTTTTACTGTTTTCCTCCTTTCCGCACATCCCTTTTAAAAGGATTTATGACATCAACTAGTTCAAAGTGTTTTTTTCCACCTGAATCTAACTTGTAATCTTACCATCCTGCGTTCTTTATATTTTGCAACAAATATTTTTTGCCTAGGCTTACACGGTTTTCTCTGACTGAAAACTAGTCTCATGAATTTTCTAATCTCATCTCTCCCCATTTTCTTTCCCAGTTTCCTTCGCTGAGAGCACGATAGAATAATGCAGCTCAATGTTACTGCATTAAAACTGACTACTGATAAGACACCTCATTTTATTCTATTAGCTGCTCGGAAGCCCCCAGTATCAGGATTGTCTCACATCCTGCTCCAATTGGATATCCTTTTATTCTGCTAAATTTGTACAATTTTTTTNATCAACATGAGTTCCAGGTACAGATAGCCGATACAGATGCTGAATCCTTCATGTGGTAATGTGTTTTAAATTGATTTTTAGTGGGTGTACTTTTGAGTGGGTGCTAATAAGACTTTAATGACTATGGAAAGCAAGTACTTTGTGACCACTTTTAAAGCAAGTGATGGATGTGCTTTACCAGAGAACATAAACGTACAGGTATTTGTTTGAACTCCTAGTACTTCACTGCTGAGCACGTCTCATGATAAAAGCTGATGCAGTGGATACTTTTAGGTTTTCTGCTTCTAGCGATGAATTATATCTGCCTCTGCTACAAAGTGTCAATCTTCTTGAGTAACTGCTCCTGGTATTCATTTCTGATGTGGTTTGCAAGACATTAGAAGTTTCGAAGACAGGTCGCCTGATTTTGCTGTTCTGTCTGCTTGGGAAACAATAAGCCTTGAAATTAGTATAATCAGTTGAAAGCAAAACAAGATTTTGGAAAAATCAAATAAATTTGTGTTTGTTAAACAAGATTGTTGTTGAAGTGCTCTTTTGTAATGTTTGTGGCCAATGTTATTAAACTCACCTCAGACACTGACCATATTGAGCTCCTGACTTCATTCTAATTGGCAGAATCAGTACTGAGCCCTGGTGGTTTGGTCATCCCTCAGCGTTCCTTTCATCCAGGCTCTCGAGGAACTCTGCTTTCCTCCATTTCTGAAACATCATTTGCCTCTGTCACTATCTCACCCTCCAATAATAATCTCAACTATGCCTTTGTCACCTGCAGGCTCAACTTCTCCAATCTTGCCAATCTTCCCAACTCTACTCTTCACAAGCCCCAGATCATCTAGATTATTATAACTCAGCAATCCACCATCTCTCCCGCACTGCCTTCCCATTCCCCAGTGGATCAACTTTAAGATCCTCACCTCCAATTACCTTCATGGCATTGGCTCATCCTTGGCACTCTCCAGTGATTCTATTCTCCTCCAACTCGTCCGACCAACTCTGGCTTCCTTCATGTTTTCCAAAAGCTCTGCTCAACCATCTCCAGACAGGTTTTCAGCCCCTTTACCCCACGACTTAAAATTCTCTTCAAAAATCCTTCCCCCCACCCTCCCCAGCCCCCTCTCTTTCTGTTTTCAAATCCTGCCTAATAGTTTCTCTCTCTGATTAAACCTGTGCCACCTTCCCGCTACTCGCTACTTCTCTCCCAGCTTGGGTTTTCACTCAGACTTAAGAACAACAACAACAACAACAAGATTCCATTTATTGAGGGGAGGGAAGGAGCGAGGAGGGGGTAGAGAGTCAAGAGGGGAGCTGAAGGCACGGTCAAAGAGAAAGGTCTTGAGACCGGCCTTGAAGGAGGAAAGGGAGGAGGCGGCGAAGGCACTGGGGGATCGAGTTCCAGAGCCTCGGGGCTGAGAGGCTGAAGGCTCGGCCACCGATGGTAGGGCAGTTGGGGCGGGGGATGTGGAGCAGACCGGAGCCAGAGGAACGGAGGGTACGGGCAGGTAGGTAGGGGGATAGTAGGTCGGAGAGGTAGGAGGGAGCGAGGCCGTGAATGGCCTTGTAGGTGAGGATCTTGAATTCGATCCTCTGGAGGATGGGGAGCCAGTGGAGGCGAGCGAGGGTGGGAGTGATGTGTTCCCGAAGCCTGGTGCGGGACAGTACACGAGCTGCACGAGAAATACCAAAGAAAGACACAGACACATTTTACATAGTTGTTGCTGAGTTTACTTTCTCCATTAATGATGGTTGATCAATCTTCAGTCCTATTATCAATAGCTTCAGGATGTCAATGCACTATAGTTACTTCGGTTTGGGGTTTTAGCAAACAGATATTTCCTGACCCAGTCACTGATAGAGAGCAAATCTAGCAAGTACCTACATTTGCACCAGAAAATTCCTGTTCACCATTTGAGAAGAAGTTGTTACATCTTGAACAGGTATTCTGGAAAAACAAGCTCTGCCATTACTTCCGGTATTTCAAATATCTTCTTCCTCTCTTCATCAACGTACAACAACTGAGCCTGTAAAGTGGTTGGAAATGGTATCCTAATTGAATGTCGTTATATAAATACAAGTTGCCGTCTTACATAAAGGGGGCAATGTAAATACTGTACAAGTCATTGAAATAAAATTTAATTTCTACTATGAAGTAGATTGAAGTACATTTTATGTCATGTACTTTATATACTATTTTCTAAATTAACCCTTCAAAAAGAAAACTCTAGGATTTAGCTACTGGATGACGTCACCTCCAATAACTTCCCCAAATATGGCGCTGCTGTATGTGACTGCATCACAAAAGCCCAAAAGGCAGACTTTCATCAGTCAACAGCCTCACCATGTAAGGCATTCCTTAATATGACAAGGTCAGACTGCAGAAGCCAGTACCCATCAAAAACTTGTCAAATGACTGAATTGTCCATAGTTACTGTCAACAGCTTTGAATAGAAACTTCTGAACTTCCTTGGAGACTTCAAATAGAATTCAGTTTTAAAACATACTCAGAATCTTAACCTTTCACGTTCAGGATTTGCAAGCTTGCGACTCGCCAACCTGCAGATTTGTGGTTTGCCCCCATGGAAAGGGGTTACAATCTTGTCTATTTACTCACATTATGTCCGACCCCGCTCGCCTACCTACCTACCTACTTACTACCTACCTGCCTACCTTACGCATTGAAATTTCCCCACTCTGGAAGGGAATGAAAACTCTCTCTCCCTATACGGAAGGACGCACCCTGTTTACCTAATCCCGCAGAGTACTATCAGGGCAGGTGCAGGGTTGGCTTTTCAAATAGTGCCATCAGATCATTCGGCTCCACCTGAACGGGCACAGGCGGGGGTTTCCTTCAGCTCCCCTCTCGACTCTCTACCCACTCCTCGCTCCCTCCCTTCCCTCCCCTCACCCTGACCATTTCCCCCTTGCTCGGGTCCCAACCCAACTGTCCAGCGCCTTGGGATATCCTCCCGACGTGAAAGACGCTCTATAAATGCAATCTTGTTGTTGTTGAAAAAAACAGCAATAATGTAGAAATATTAAACCAAAGTATGGGAATGTGTTATTTTGGCTGTATAGCAATGAGTAAAGTAAATCACTCCGTTGCACTCCTTAGTACATATAACTCAGTTTTCAGTAACTTTAGCACTAACTTCTAAAAAAAACAATTATAATAATTATCCTTGCATTTGATTTAGTATCTTATCACATCATCAAAAGTTCTCAAAAGTGCTTCACGGGATTTACCTTGAAGTGTACTGTCTGTATTTACAGTTGAACAATCATACATCTTTAAAGGAATTTTTAAGGATTATTTTCCAATATATACTGTTCTATGTTTTTATATTGTTGTAACTGAAGCAACGCACATATCTTTAACCATTTTGGGGGGAAAATGCAAGTTTTATGTAAAAAAATGAAACAAAAGCAAATGTTCAATATAGAATCATTTTCATTTGAGTGCAGAATGACTTACAATCCAGACTTTGTGTATCTCTTTTTAACTTTATTAAGTAAAAGTCTGAATTACATTAGTAACACTGTATTGAATGAGTTACAAGTAAAGCAATTGCGTAAAAGCCTTTGTGAGCTAGTCTAAACATGACTGAAAAGTTGACGTAGCTGATTGTTTCAATGCAAATAATGAAGGCATGTCACGAACTTATCCAACTGTGCAATGTATGATTTGCATAAAATACTAAGCATATACTGCTTTTATCTTTGTATTAAACAGCTGCTTAATATTAACCAGATGCAATGAAATAATTGTTTGCATTTCAAACCTCAGCTTGGGAAATCACATAACTGTTATTTTTTGATAGCCTTTTTTATTGAATTTTCCATAATGTGGCACAGAGCTAATAAAGTATGCAATTCTATGATTCCACGATTCTAGGTCAATAAATAAGTTAGAGAGAAAGTGTAAACTGGATACAAATTGCTTACCTTATATCAATGGAATATCAACAGGAACCCCTGATACTGGAGAAAGTAACTGCTGCAAAACACACAGGCCAGGTAGCACCAGGGACGTTTTTGCACAAAGCTGCTCAGATTGAAAATAACCTCCATATTTCAGTGCTAGGCATGTGCCGGATTGTCGGAGTTGCCAACCTTAGATATGACACTAAACCGAGGTCCAGTGTTAACTTGTATAATAAAATTGAATTGTGGAGTACTGTGATCTGTTGGTTAGAGCACTTGCCTTGCAAGCAAGAGGACCCAGGTTCAATTCCTGGGCAGGACGAAACTTTAGGCAAGTTTCCTTACTCAACATGCCTCTGTTTACATAACTGTCAGTAGGAACCTGGTTGTTAGTCAATTGGTGGATCACTTTTTGGGGTAATAATCCCTTCATTTTTTTAATAATATTAATTCGGTCACTCAATCAACGACTGTTTGTGGGTCACTCCTGTGTGCAATTGGTTGCCACATTTCGCCCACAGAAACATACAGTCAATTCACTTTACAGTATATTCTGTAAAGTGCTTTGAAACATCCAGACAATGTATTAAGGCTCTATTTCAAATGCAAGGATTATTATTATTAAATACTAATGTAAGAAATTGTATACGTGTATTTACATACTTGTTTACATGTGACACTTAATAAACTTCACTTTCTCAGGTAATAAAAAGGCAATTGCTAATTGGTGAGATTATGCCAGGGATCTGAGATAAAATGGCAATAATTGTGTTCTACTTTCTTGTTTTATGGACTTCTCTTTCATCCTGTCTGCGATGGATCTCAGTGGTTAGAGCACTCGCCTCGTAAGCGAGAGACCTGGGTTGTATTCCTGGCAGCGCAAAACATTGGGCCAGTTTCCTTACTCCACAGCAAGTAGCAATAAGTAGAAACCTGGTTGTTAGTCGATTGGCGGATCGCATTTATGGGGATAACAATACCTCAAGAAAAAAAACAATAATTTGGTCACTGCCGCATTTCGCCCACAAATATACAGTCAAATTCACTTTACAGTGTATTCTGTGAAGTGCTTTGAGATGTCTAGAAGACGTGATTTAGGCTCAAAGCTGAAACCTGCTGTCTCTTTTCAAATTTTTTCAAATTTAAAACATGCGTTTTTATCTCACAGGAGACATAAAGGTAACCAGCTTCCCAGTAGCACTTTGCTTTGAGTGAGCAGCAGTAATTCGAATATATTCCAACATTGATAGTGTCAGTTCATAGTTCTTGTTATTTCACATTATCTAATATAGCGAACAAAGTCTACATTTTTAACCCAACAACAACAACTTGCATTTATAGAGTGCCCTTCATGGGGGTAGTATCTCAGTGTGCTTAACAGTGACGGAGCTTGACGCCAAGTCAGGGAGAGAGGGGAGATGATCGTAAGCACGGTCAAAGAGGAAGGTCTTCAGATATGATCTGAAGGTGGTCAAGGAGGGAGAAAGAATGATGGATTGAGGCAGAGTTCCAAGGTTTGGGGGCACACTGGGTGAAGGCAAGGCCACCAATGGTGGAGTAGTAGGGTGGGGGGCGTGGCGGAAATGGAAGCAAGCGGCATGTAGAAAACTGGAGCCAGCTGAGCAAAGGGGGCAGGTAATAGAGTGGGATGTAAGCATGTCCAAGAGGCAGGAAGGTGCTTGGGTATGAATTGATTTATAAGTAATTTGAGGATCTTGAAATCGATCCATTCTACAATAGGAAGCCAATGGAGCTTGGCAAGGACTGGGGTGATGGGGTTGAGGGGTTTGGTATGGTTGAAAATATGAGCAGTGGAGCTTGGGATCTGTTGGATCTAAAGTTTCAGTTCAAAGGGATACACCATGTTTACTATAATACATCTTCATCTTTTTAGAGAGTGATGTTTTTATAAAATGTATTATCTCTGCAATGTTACAAAATTTCAACTCATGCACATGTACCACTCTACACATTTACTGTTCCAAGTTGATCAGTTTTCAGTTTCTGATTTTATTGTTTCACAAACTTGCAGGGTGCTAACTGAACATTTTCAAAGAAATTCCACCTATTTTAGCATTTTGGCTAAATTTAAAATTTGATATAATAGGAAAATCTTACATTCTGTTTAAATTTGAATGGTGTTTTGGTTAATGGTTTTCCAAATTAAGACTGAATTTAAGATTTCTGTATGATTGTTGAGACAGAATAACTAAAACTAGGTGGAATTTGGGCCTTTGATTTCTTGGAATTTCATGGTGTGGTTGTTGCAGTGATATTATTGCACCATTAATGCAGGTTTGGGGCAGGATTCTGGAAATTAAATCAAATGGGCTAAAGAGCCTTCTTTTTCAGAACCAATCTTGTGACTTTGCTATTATTGCTAACTAACTTTTAACTTATGCTCGTCTGGCATCTATATGTAGTTGAACATACCCTCATAGTCATTATCATAACTAATTGATCAGATCTTACCTGAATATTAACCTGCAAAGGAAAGTCAGACCCAGAGGGATCATATTGTATTTTATTGTTCACAAGATCACACAATTGATTTGGATGAACAACACTGTTCAGCCCATCTGATCTCATCTCTCCAGAATACCCACCCTACTACTCCCGCAATCTGCTATTTAAATATTTTTAAATAAGTCTTGTGTCCTGGCCTCTACCACCTTTCCTGGCAATTTATTCCAGTCATTATTACTCTCTGTGTAAATAAACACTTCCTGGTATCTTCCCTGAAATTGCCCTTTACAACTCTAAACCTGAGACCCTGTTCTAATGTCTTGATACACCCTAAATTATTGATCTGTGTTTATTTGTTCATTCCTATTTAAAAATGTGTATACCTCTACGAGGTCCCTTTTGAGTCATCTTCTGTCAAGATTAAATAGCTTTAAATCATCTAATTGTTGCTCATAGCTCATTCCTTGTTTTTTCTCATTCCTCTAACATTACTCGTTGCTCACCTCTGCACTGCCTCTAGGGGCGGGAGCCTCTTATGTCCCAGATGTTTGACATATGTAGAAACACATACATAAGAGTGTCCAAACCAGACTGAGAGTTCCTTATCTGTATGTCACTGACACATGGAAATTTCCCTGCGTCTGGAATGGAATGTGCACTCTGTGCAGTTTCCTTTATTCCCCCACTGATTAGCTCAAATAGAGGAGTTTTAGAGATATTTAAAACTATGAATTTGATTTAATATTATGAAGGGTTTAACATTTATGGATGTGCTATATTCAAAACAAGGAGTTTCTTTTCAAAATAAGGTGAATCAAAGATACTATGAAGTGCAGGAGAAATCTGGTTGTAATATGCATATAGATCAAAATACCGGGTCAAATGTTGGAACAAAGAACTATATAAACCTTTGAAAAAGAAAATAGGCAAGTTTGTGTCAATTGAACGGATGGGACACTGCTGTGCGCAATTGGCTGCCACGTTTCGCCCACGAAACACACAGTCACTTCACTTTGCTGCATATTCTGTGAAGCACTTTGAAACTCAATGATGTGATAAAGTGTTATATCAAATGCAAGGATTATTATTCTTGTGGGGAATTGGATGAGTAGGCGAGGTGGACCAATGTTCTACTCCTGCCTGAAATTGCTTCTATGTTGATGTGAAATATTTCAGTAGCTTCACACAATGGGTTAAACTATTCAGTCAATCGACAATTTAATCTTTCTCACAGATTTAATTTGCTTTTCTAGGCACACCCAGACACACACCCACACACACAAAAGGATTGGAAGATAATAACTGGAAGTTAAAGATGTTGTGATATCAGTGTCACTGTACTGCTCATTAAAGCTGTAACATCCTTTGTCTAATAATTTATTTGTTAATTTAAGCCGGATAGAGCTGCACCACCAGCCAATTCATGTCACCAACAGATACGTAAAGCAGGACCATCGATAAAATAGGCTACCATACTAGCACACGTTTTAAGTATCCTTCAGTTTCAGATTTTCATCTTGGAATGTGCCTGAATAATACAGCAGTGCTAAAGCCATCGATAGTAAGGCTGCAAGGTCCAATTATATACAAGATAAAATCACACCAAACAATCACCAAGTGTCTTGGATGCTCAATGTATGATCGTATTTAACCAAACCTGGCTTATTTACACTGATATTAGGGTTGGAAAGTGCAAGCTATACATCAGAGAGGTTGAGATGAACAAGAAGGTCATACAGGATATGAAGCTTTCTTTGCTTTGAACAGTATGCCTGCTCCAGTGAGTACAAAATGTAATTTTGTATTGTATCACATTGCTCGGTAGAACCTGGTGATAATATCATTGTAGCCTCTAAGCAGTAAATGTATGTTTTTTTTCATACACTATAAGTATATGGTTTATTTCCAGAGGATAATTGTGCATATATCGGAAGCAACAGAAGAGGACAGGTGGAAGGCCCTATCTTTACCATTAATTAAGGGTGGAGGAGGAGAGGATTACTCCCCTAACCACCAACCCAGCATAAAAATCCTGATAGTCCTTGGAGAATTCATTAATTTCAGTCATCATCTCACCCGAATTTCGCCTCACCCCTCAGGCTGCCGAAACCCTCGCCCACGCATTCGTCACATCAAGGCTTGATTATGGAAACTCCCTCCTCATCAGCCTTCCCAACTCTTCCCTTCACAAACTGCAGATCATCCAGAACTCTGCAGCTCGTGTACTCTCACGCACCAGTCTCCGTGATCCCATCACTCCCATCCACACCCGACTCCACTGGCTCCACATCCCCTAGAGGATCGAATTTAAGATCCTCGTCCTCACTTTCAAGGTCATCCATGGCCTTGCCCTCTCCTACCTCTCTGACCTGCCCATTCCCTCCCTTCAGCGGGCTCCGGTCTGCTCCATGTCTCCCGTCCGACTCAGTGACCATCAGTGACCGGGCTTTCAGCCTCTCTGCTCCCACAATCTGGAACTCCATCCCATAGTCCCTTCACCTCGCTTCCTCCCTTGCCTCCTTCAAGACCAGTCTCAAGTCCCTCTTCTTCGATCGTGCCTTCAGTCGCCCTCCCACCTCTCTGCCTTCCCTCACCACTACCCCACCCCTCCCCCATGCTCGGGTCCTGACCCCTGACTATCCAGCGCCTTGGGACGTCCTCCCAATGTGAAAGGCGCTCTATAAATGTAATTTTGTTGTTGGGGTCTAATTAAAGGTGATTCCCTAACCATCTGTGCAGATTTCTGTCGTAATGTGCTTCTGAAAACAATATTTGGTGCTTGTGATATTTAGTCCAGTTTAAAGTTAAGACT